GCAGGAATGGCGAGCTGGGGCAGGACGTCTTGACCTTCGTGGTAGGCCACCTCTCCCCTGGCGAGCTCATCAACTCTTGGTTCAGTTACATTCTACACTTGTGTATCTATCCTCCGGCACCTCACCCCACCGCTTGTCCAAGACAGAGCCCCATATCACTCCCCCAAACCTGGCCTCTTATGTCCCTGTCTCAGTCTGGAGCCAGACACCTGGGAGTCATCAGAGCCTACCGCTTACCTGTTCCAACCAGTAGATCACCAAGTCCTACCCATGCTGCTTCTTAAATATCCCTGGAATCCACCCACTTTTTTCTGCTTCTCTGCCCCTCCCTTGGCTCAGGTCACTATCTTCTTGCACCTGATTTGCTACAGCAGCCTCCTCATTGGCCTCCCAGCTCCATGCAGCCTCATTGCCCTCCCGCACGGCCCCCACCCACTTGCTTTTCTCCACCTGGTGGCCAGAGTAATATTTTAGAAACACAAGTCCAACTGGTCAGCTCCTGCTTCGGAATCTTCCATGGCTCACCAGTACCCTGAGAATAGATCTAATCAGGCCCTCCATGACCTCAGTCCTAATCACCTGCCTCACTCCTTTCAGGACTTGGTTCAATGCCCCTTCTGCCAGACACACTTCCCTATGAGCTCACTGCCCAGAGTGGGTTAGCGAGTCCTCTTAGGGACTTCCTTGAAGTGAGCATCTGTTTACCTGCCAGTTCCTCCTCTGGACTGGGAGCTCCTTGAGGGCAAGGACCATGCCTGATTCATCCAGCACAAAGCCTGACACGTTGCTTAAAAGATGTTTGTCGCGGGCTTCCCTGGTGGCGCAGTGGTTGAGAGTCCGCCTGCCGATGCAGGGGACACGGGTTCTGTGCCCCGGTCTGGGAAGATCCCACATGCTGCGGAGCGGCTGCACCCGTGAGCCATGGCCGCTGAGCCTGCGCGTCCGGAGGCTGTTGGTCCGCAACGGGAGAGGCCACAACAGTGAGAGGCCCGCGAACGCAAAAAAAACAAAAACAAAAACAAAAACTGTTTGTCGAATGAATAATTAATTGTATATGGCTATTAGGGGGTTGGATGTGTGTGGTTGGAGTTCAGGAAAGAGGGCTGGGCCATTGAGACAGTTTTGGGAGTTGTCCGAAGGGACCCATAGTAGGGCCATGGGAAAGGCTGAGATAACTTCAGGGCAAATAAACAGGGGCTGAGGACAGAACACTTGCTTTTAGGGGGAAAAATTTCTGTACCAGGTAGGATCAGTTTTGACTTAGATAACAGAAATTCCATGTAAGAGCCTCAGGGAAGACAGTCCTGGGCTGGTATTGTAAGCAGATGGGGTAGGGGGTCCCCGAGGAAAAGAACCAGATGTAGCATTTTGACAGAAGAGAAGCCATTTTTGGCCTAAGCCGGTTTTTTTTTTTTGTAATCTAACCCTGGCCACAATGCTTGCCCTTGAACAGGTCTCAGTAATTAATGATCAAAAGGGAACAAAAGAATGCAGGAACAAACAGCTGTTATCAGGTGGAGAAATAACAATAGCAAAGATAGTATAGCAGTTGTAAAGACTCCCAGTTCTGTTTGAGTACTTCAGATTAGCCTGAGGGACTTTCTTAAAAGAGCTGTTTTGCAGAATTTAAACCCCCTTCAACCACCAGATCAACTAGAACCTGCGGGATGATGTTGATCTTTTCTGACGCTTCTGTCAACCTTTGCCCCAATTCTATGATGCGTACACTGCCCAAGCCTCTTCACGAATATGCATGTACCCGTAGCTTAACACTTCCACAATTTTGCCATTCGGGGGGAGACACTGCTTTGGGAAAGATCCCCAGTGTTCTCCTTACTTGCCTCAAGTAATAAGTGCCTCCTTCTCCCACTCTTTGTCTTTTGGCTCAACACCCACCAGAAGGTGAACCCAGTTTGGGGGGGGGGGTAACAGTATGTCAGCTGTGCTCCACAAAGACCTCCCAGATGTGGCTCTTTCCACTCATTACTCCAGCCACTTCTGGATTTGACTCTTGTCCTCGTGATTCAGGATGGTGGCTAGAGCTCCAACCATCACGCACACATTCCAGGCAGTGGGATGGAGACAAGGATGAAGAAGAAGGAGGCAAAGGATCTGCACCAGCTCTCTTTTAAGGAAAGTTCCCAGAAGGCATCACATGACACTTCCACATACATCCAATTAGCTATAACAGTCACATGACCAGACCCAGCTTCAAGAGGAGGCTGGGAAATGCAGCTTCCATTCTAGGCAGCCACATACCCAGCCAAGAACCTGGGGACAGCTAGCTGACTCTGCCATCGAAAGAGAGGATAGAGGCAGGGGCAGAGCACTACTGTGTGCCAGTCTCTGTGCTAGGTACTTTATGCATCTTATCTTACCCCAACCTGAGTAGAGGCTATTATTATCCCTGACTCACAGAGGAGGCTCGGAGAGTTAAGCAACTTGCCCAAGGACACACAGTGACAGAGCTGCAATCGAAAACTATCTTATCCCTACACCCCAGGCTGACTGGAAAATCTGGAGAGGGTGGGTCCTAGGAGCTGCTGGAAGGAAATCTTTCAACAAAGGAGGGCTCAGCCAACAGTGTCAGAGGCTGACAGGCTGAGCAGGATATGGGCTGAAGTGCCTGCTTGCATCTGGCAACAAGGACGCCGCTGGTAACCTTGGCAAGGGCATCTAGAAGTGGGGGTAGGGGCTGGAGGCCAACTGTAGAGGGTGGGACCCAGAGGGAAGTGTAGACTGGTCTTTCTGGAATGGTGGTGGCAGTGAACGGAGAGCAGGCAGAGCAGCAGGGAAATGTGGGCTGCGAGGAGGCAGGAGAGGAGCGGGAGAGAGGAGAGGTGGCCTCCAGGCTGGGTGAGGCGTGATTTCCAGGGAGGAATCCTCTGCTCACTCGGGAGGGAAGGGGACTGGAGGTGCACAAGCAGGTAGATCTGGAGAAGGAAGGGAGGTAAGAAGAGGGAGTGCCTGTCTTGTAAAATCCGGGGGATGGTTCTTGGCTGGGGAAGAGGGCAGGAGGCCGAGGGCCTGAGGGAGAGGGGAGGGGCTAGCCTGTGATGTTCAATATGGTAGCCACTAGCCACACGTGGCGAGTTAAATTCAAATGAATAAAATAAAAAATTCAGTTCCTTGGTTGCATGAGCCACATTTTAAATACTTAACGTCCACAATGTGAATACTACATTGGACAGCACAGATAGAGAATGTTCCATCACTGGTGTTGGACAACACTGGTCTAGACAGAGCATGGTGATGGGGGTGCCCAGAGACCCTGCTTGGCCAGAGGGTCATGCCCACAGCAGGGTCCCTGGAGGATCCTTCCACACTGTCTCCAGTCAAGACCTTCCTCCCCTCTTTGGGATTCCATCTGATCTCCCTCCTGGGACAGCCAGCCCCTTCCTCACCCCTGCTTTCATGAGGCCAGTCCTGGGGGTGTCTGCTTGTCCCAGTGCCGGGCCTTTCAAAGCCAGGGGAGGGGGGTGTGGAGGGTTGGGAAGATCCCCAGTGACTGGGGCCGTGCCAGGACAGCAGCCCCTGAATAGAGGTGAGCTGATGCCCAGCACTGCCTCTGCGTAAGGGTCAGCTCACCATCTCCCACGGAGAGACCCAGAAGGATCTCAAAGATCGCTCAGCTTAGCCCCGTGTTTCACAGCTGCGGACACTGGGTTTCAGAGAGGGCTGGGAAGAAACGGCAGAAGGCAGAGGTTTGAACTCATTCACCAAATCCTCTTATTATACTCCAGCCCTTGATTTCCCAGACCCTGTGTTCAGACAGAGCCGGGCAGGCCTCGGGAGCTGGGGCTGGCTCACAGGCAGAGAGCCCAGGATTCGGCTGAGGCTCCCACCCTGACCAGAGGTAGCTGAGTAAGGATTCATCACTAGAAGGGGCTGTCCTGGCCTGACACACTTGAGGAGAAGCACATCCCCACAGAGGCGGGGTGGCATGGACCACGAGTCTGTGCCTGGGGGTGTAGGTGTGTTCAGATGGATGTGTTTGCAGGGCCCAAGCTGTTCAAACACACAGTGTGGATGGGACGGGGGCTGTGCGTGCCGGTGAGTGTGCACGTGGGGGAGGAGTGCATGAGACACCGTGTGGCTTGTGAGCGCACCACACACCTGCTCAAGGCCCGCACCCGCCAGGGGACGCCGGCCCCAGCTAAGTCTGATACCTGTTCAGGAGCGGTTCTAAAATGTAGGTCCTGAAAATGACCTGAAGAGTTTGCTATGCTTGCAGATCATGTGACCAGACGTGGAGTTTCTGGTTCAGGAGGTCTGGGGTGCACCCAGTTGCTGGCACTGCTTTTCTTTTTTTTTTTTCCTTTGGCCTCGCAGGCTTGTGGGATCCTAGTTCCCTGACCAGGGATCGAACCCAGGCCCCTCGGCAATGAAAGCGCAGAGTCCTAAACACTGGACTGCCAGGGAATTCCCAGGTGCCAGCACTGTTGATAAGCATCCCAGGGAAACCTGGGGTCAGTAAGAAACAGGGTTCAAGCAGAGCTGTCCAACAGAACTTTCTGCGATGCTGGAAACGTTCCACGTGGTTCAATAGGGCAACCGCAGCCATATGTGTGTATCCAGCAGTTGTAATATGGCTATTTGAGGAACTGAAGTTTTAATTTTATTCAATCTTAATTAATTTAAATAGTCACCGATGGCTAGTGGCTGCCATATGGGAGAGCAGAGGTCTGGAGACATGAGGGAGTAGGATGGATGGGCAAGGGCCCAGAGGGAGAGGCATAAAACCCGGGGCCAGGAGTGGCTGAGGCTGGGGTGAGGCTCCCTTGGGGGCTGCAGAGTTGGAGCCAGAGCCCAGAATTGTGCAGGTCTCTCCCGGAGTCCACCCTGAGCTTCCGGCAACCTGGTGTCTGCCTGGCTGACAGGGTGGGAGCGCTCCTGGGGAGACCCCTCCGCCCTGGCTGAGACCCCACCAGGCTCCCCGCCTGCTGTGTCCAGTGGGGGGCGGGGGCAGAGGTCAGGATGTCTTCACGTTCTCCTGCAGAACCAGGGTGGAGCTGGTGGCCGCAGGGTCGTGCGCCCCCTGTGTAAACATTGGGGGGATGCAAGTCATCCGGGGGGAAGCAGCTGGCTCCCTGGCACAGACACACAGGCCCGGGGCCTCTGCAGGGCTGGCTCCGGGCTTCTCTTACCGGCCCTGGCCCCACGTCCTCCGCGTACTTGAACTTCTTTTGCTTGTAGTAGTGCCTCCTGGGCAGGATATGGAGCAGCAGCAGGTCGCAGAGAACCGTGGCCTGAGGGGCGGCGCACGGGAACCTGGGGGCGGGGACAGGACCCTCCACTCCCCACCTCTGTCCTGCCCCAGCTCTGGACCCCCGTTTCCTCAGACATACTGTGTGCGGGTCTAGGGAGGCGGGGTGGGCTCAGTAGTAGGGAACAATTTCGGTCAGGTCTGGGGTGGGAGACTTGTTGCTGAGGTGTGGAAGGGGAGGGCCTGACCCCGGCGCAGTGACCCCATGACCTCAGCACTTACCACCCCAAAGATGCCAATCCCAGAGCCAATGGTGGTCATGGTGGGGATGATGTCAAACTTGCCAGCCTGGTGGCAGGGCCCCGGGGAAAGAAGGGTTAACAGTCAGAAGGGTCTGGTGGAGGCCTTGCTCAGGGGCGCTGAGACCAGGCGGGGGCAAGGGGCCTTCCCCACCCTCCACTGGCAGCTGGTCCCACAGCCTGCTGCCCACGGCTCTGGCTCTGCATGGAGACCCAGCTGCTGGTCGGGAGCCCTGGGTTTTGACCTTGGCTCTGCCCTCCCTGGACACAGGGAGACAGTGAGGGAGGTGTGGTCACAGGCTGGAAAGCCCTGCCCTCAACAGCACCTGGGTCCCTCTGTTATCAGATACAGAAATGCTGAATGAGGCCCATCCAACTTCCTGTTGCCTCTAACCACAGACACCCAACAAGCACCGGCAGGAGCCAAGAGTGTGTCTACACACACTACCCCTCACCTTGCCGTCCACAAGGATGTCAAAGCGAATCCCAAACACCTTGAAGAGGTGCCGGTAGTTGGTCCCATTCTCCACGAAGTGCCTGGCAAACCTTGGGGAAGGGGAGAGGTTGCCGGAGAGGGTGGGTGATGGAGAACTGTCTTGGGTCCAGAGTTTCCAGAGCATCAGGGATACAGGAGCCCTTAGAGGTCCATGAGGACAGCCCCGTGCCCCCCCCAACATTATACAGAGGGGGAATCGCAGGCCTCATTCCAGGAATGCTGTATTCAACCGCTGCCCTAACTCCTGATGTCGGCAATTTCCCCAGCCAGTCCTGGCCAGGTGGGCCTCAAGGGAACCGAGAGCCAGGGGCAGGGCTCAGGCCTCTGGGCTCGTGCTCCCTGCTTGGCCAATTCCGGGAGAATGGGAGTTTCCTAGGATCCGCTGCTCCCCTCCCAGGGACACTTGCTTGGCCTTAAGGGGTCCTGGGAGTAGAAAAGCCCGCAGGACGCCAAGGAAGGATGCACTGGTGGGGGCCCGGCAGGCACCTGAAGTTGAAGCCTTGAGACAGGTTTTTCTCTTCATACAGCCCGTGGAACTCATAGACGGGTTTGCAGTGTCGCACATGCCAGTCCAGGTCACAGTGCCAGTCGATGGTGATGCCTACCACCCCGCCCTACCAGGGACACAGGCCCTCAAGATCAGGGGTTTAGGATCAAGAACTCCTGCCTTACAGCTGGTGCAGCGGTTTTCTGTTTGTTTGAGAAGAGACACTGAGAAGCTGCTTCAGGGTTGAGGTCCCGTCACCCTCTCTGGTCCCGCCTCCCACCCATCACATTCCAGCTTTCTGACAGTTTCTGACACCAGGTTCTTCCTACCTCAGGGCCTTTGCACATGCAGTCACTCTCCCCCCGCCCGCCACCATTCCCCACAAGGCTGGTTCTTTCTCATCCTTTGGTCACTTCGCCTGGGAAGCCTTCCCTGACCACCACCCCCAGTCTAAAATATGCCCTTGTGATTCCCTCTGTGTTTTCTCCTAGAATACGTGGCACTTTGTAACCACACATTTATTTAGTGTGATTATTAACACATCTCTTCCAAGACTGTAAACTCCACAAGGGTGGAGCTGTCTGTCTTATTTGCACTGATTCCTGAGTCACAGCGCAGGAGGCAAGTAAATAGCTGTTGAATTAAAAAGAGGGAGTCTGTAAAGACATGGGCTGGGAAGAGAAAACCTGAGAAAGTGAAGCTCCTCTGGGCGAGGCAAGGATCAGGGACAGGTGGGCTGAGCAAGAGGAGAGTTGGGTGTGGGGCTGGGCAGCTAGGCGGGAGGCTAGATGCCTACAGACAATGGTGACGGGTGAGAAGTTCCTACTGGGGGTGGCAGGGAGACTTTTAGGAACAGGGGAAACTAACATTCAGCTTTCTGGTCCTGTGGGTTGCTACCGTGTAAACCCCCTCCAGGGGTTGGCAAACTGAGGCCTCAGGGCCGAATCTGTTTACACATTGCCTGTGGCCGCCTTTACCCTATAGCAGCTGACCTGGGTGGCTAGAACAGAGACCATGTGACCTGTGGCCCATACTTATTCTCTGGCCCTTTAAAGAAAAAGTTTGCTGACCCGTGTTCTCCATAAAGTCACCGTGGGTGAGTTGTTTTGGTGTGTGATGTCACAGAGAGGGGCCGATTTCCATCCCTGGATCCCACAGGAGCGGATGATAAGGATCACGAGGGAGCATGTACCTAGCATGCCTTGGGCCAGGCCACCCTGAAGTGCTGTCCCGTGCCCTCAAGGCAATCCCGAGAGACTTGCACTATTATTGCTCCCACTTTACAGGTGCAAAAGCGCAGACTCACTGAAGGTAAGAGACTTGTCTGAGCCAGGATCTGAACCCAGTCAGACAGGTCTGTGCTCCTTATAAGGTACCGTTTCTCTGGGAATCCCACGTGACTGTGTGCATCTCAGCCTCCAGAATCCCCAGGAAACCTGGGCAGGCAGAGGATTTCTCAGGGCCATGGGCCATGGGATTTAAGCTGCTTGTATCTAATATTTAAAAAACACTGGGCCCTCGGAAGACACCCAAGTGACATCTGCCTATGGCCATTCATTCTGGGCACCTCCTCTGTGCTAGGTCCATGCCAGGCCCTGCTGAGGACACAGGCCTGAACCACAGGGGCCCCCAGTATTAGGGGATAGATCTATATATATGCTCGGCCCATGCTAGGGACTGGGTGCGGTGCGGGGGTTAACTGGGCCTGAAAAGTCTTTTTTGGCCTGATGATCTGGGGGCCCAGCCCTCCCCACTCGGCTGGCACAATACCTTCTCGGCCAGGGTGCTAAAATTCTGGCCTGACTCTTGTACCATATAGCCGAGCTTGAAAACTGGGCACAGTGGGTGCAAGGTCTTGTGATAGAGGCAGGTCTTCATGTAGGCGGCATCCACCTCCTCCACCAGGTTGCGCCTACAGGGGCAGACGGCATTGGTGGTGGCAGCATGCCAGCTGGGAGGGCACCCACCATGCCCGGGAGCTCTGGGGACCACTCCCGGGCCCTAGAGATGCCCCTTCCCTAGCCCTTGGAGACTGAAGGCGGCCCACCCCAGGGGCCCAGCCCAAGCTTCTGCCTCCAGAAGGAAATCAGCATGAGTGCAGGGTGACAGAGGTGACAGGTTAAGACCGGCTGGAGCAGCCTCCGAGAGCCGCCTGCATTTCTGCCCGCTTTTCCCACAAACCTGGTGACCTTGAAGCGTGGAAAGCTGATGCTGTTCTTGATGAAGAGAGTGAAGTTCTCGGCCTCTCGGAGAAGGGCAGGGCTGGAGGAGACGGCACTCACTCACTGCCCCCTCCCCAGGAGTCCTTCGTGTGCCTACCAGAGCTGGGCTTGGTGTGTGGGGCTGTGAGAGCCTATGGGATCTTCCTGAGTCATTGGAGGGGTGGGCATGCTGTAATGTGGACTCTCAGGCCCCTTGAGCAGAGGCTGGGGCATCTTTGGCCTGAGCTGCACAGATGGGGTGAGGGTGGGGTTGGAAGAAGTGGGGACAGAGCACAGATCCAGATGCTCCTCTAGTCTGGGCTGGGGTCCCTGCTCCCACCTCCCTGGAAGGACAGGGCATTACCATGGGATGTTGTCATCCACCTCCACGGGGCACCAGCCAAAGATCTCACACGTATGCACGATGTCGTTGAAGGCCACACACTTGCCTGTGCGGATGCCTGGAGCAAGGGTGGAACCCCTGGGTGCCCACCCCAAGCTGGGGGTGCAGAGGAGAACCCCCAGGCCCCACTCCTAGGAGCCCCCATTGATGGGGCGCCCAAGAGCAGAAGTCTGGCTGGTTCTGGGACAGGGGAGGCCAAGGTCAAGGTGGCGGGAGGAGAGAGAGCAGGAGGGGCATCCTGGTGGAGGAAGCCTGGAGCTGACAGGCTGTGGAGGGGGACAGGACGAGGCCGACCTTACCTTGGGCCTTCCTTTCTGCCTTTCCCGGGGTGCAGCCACTATTATTCGTGCACGTGCCCCCTTCCGGGTTCTGGGGAAGGGGAGAGCTGCTGGCCCCAGGTCCCCTGGGTAGGATCCTAAGAAGATACCCCCGCCCCCTGCATGGCCCTAGGGTGTGGGGCAGAGTCTCAGACCCCTTTGGAGTGACCCTTAATCACAGCCTCCTTCCCCCAGTCCCCTCCCAGGACCCTCTGGGCTCACGCCCAGCTGCCCTAGTGCTGATGTCAGCCAGCAGGGGTAGGGGAGGCTGGGGCTTGGGAGTTGGGCAGGCACTGAGGCTCAGCATCCTGCTTGGCACACAGCTGGGAGGGAAGCCTCAGCAACTGCCAGTGGTGGGCCATTACTGTGTGTGAACTTATGCCTGAGATTCCACCACTGTGGTGCCGCAGGAAGCCTATCTGGCTTCCCCTCCAATGCCCAAGGGGACCTCCTCTTCTATGTTATTTTTCCCTGTGGGTCCAAGAAGCGGGGATGGGCACCAGTCCTCACCTCTGCACAGTGGCCTTGGGCCTGCCGGGGGGTGGCGATAAAATTGGTCATGACCACAAAGGAGCTGTCTCCCTGGAAGTGAGAGACAGGGGGAGGGGAGGGCAGGGCTCTGAGCTGGGAGAAGAGCCCCAAGAACCCAAGCACTGCCCTAGCAAAGCCCCCAGAACCCACATGACACCCAGCAGCCTCCAGAACCCACGACATCAGACTGGGGTGATGTTATGAGGCTGCTTCCGCCCCTCATTCACAGGGAATCTGAGGCTCAGAGAGAGAGAGGAGCTAGGTTGGTCCCACAGGGAGGTGGGACAGAGCCTAAACCAGCTCTGAGCCAGCAAGCCCTGTGGGTGGAAGGTGCACCCCCGAGTCTGCTCACCTGGGCTGGGAAGACGTAGTCAGCCACATCCCAGACCTGGGGGCCCAGGCTTGGGATCTTCGTCACAGCCAGACCCTTGAGTTTCACAGACAGGCTGCTGATGAGGCCACTCGAGGTCTGGTAGCCCTTCTCATAGACAAACACCCACCTGCAGGGGGATTAGGGGGGGCAGAGGGGCCAGAGTTGGCCGGAGCCATTCAAGGATGGCATGAGGCTGTGGGCCACCGCCCTTTCCGGCACCAGCTGGACGTGTCAAGTCCTTTCCCTTCCCCTCCCCGGACGCGTCTCTGAGCCACTCTCCGTTCCTAAAGCTACATCTTGGACTGGACGCTGGAAATCCTCACCTGCTCCCCCTGCTGGCCTGTGCCTGGAGTTCTACCATTCTTTTCACTATGAAAATACTCTTACTGGTTGGCCAGGGAGCAGAGCCCCTGAAGGTCTCTTTCAGAGCCTTTTCCAAGAGTAGCATTTGTTGGAGGCCAAGCTGCTTGGACTCCAATCTTCATCCCTATCTCCTTCTCTCCTGAGCTCTCCCCGCTGAGAAACAGCAGAGTACGATGGTGACCGAGAGCCTGGCCTTTGGTGCCCAAGAGTCTGGGCTTGAATCTCACAGGCTGTATGATCTGGGGTAAACTAGTCTCTGTTCAGGGCAAATCCCTCTCTGTTTCAGTTTCCTTGTAAAACGTAAACAATAATAGTACCAATACTACTTATGTTGTGAGTTAATGCCTGTGAAAGCACTTGGAATGGAAACTGGCATGGGCTAAGCACTGTATAGACATTAGCTACTATTATCTCAGCCATGCTGGGAGCTCTTGGGGAGGGGGACTGGCTGGAAGGGAAACCAGAGGGGCAAGGCGCCCTTTGAAGGGCTCACAGCATCTGGCCCCAGATGAGGCCCTTGTGGGTGTGGGGCAGGCTGGAGGTCTCCCAGCTTTCTCAGGAAATTCTGGCCTTCCCCTCCCAGCATCAAGAACCCCTGTTCCTCCGGGTTCTCCACTTTCAATCTGGGAGGTTTAGTGGGGTCAACCTCCCTCCTAGCCCCACAGTGGGAGGCGCATGACCAGGGTTTGCCAATCAATGTTCCATTGCCCTAGCAACAGCAATGGGTCTAAGGATGGGCACACAACCCTGAGGAGTTTCAGCAACGCAGCCAGAATTTTTCTGGGAATTACTGGGAAAGAGACATCCTCTCTGTTGGATGGCTAAGCAAGGTATGGTTAGTCATCTGTGTTACCTCACAGAGAGAGCAGGCCTGAGATTGCAGCCAGCTTACAGAAAAGCCAGGCCAGTAGATGGAGAGGGGCAGACTCCTGACAATGTTGCTTGAGCACCTGGATCCTGCCACACCTGAAGCATGTTGAAAAGTCACTTCTGGACTTTTCAGTTATACAAGTTAATAAATTCTTTTCCTTTATTTAAGCCAATTTGGGTTTGGTTTCCATTGCTTACAAGTGAGAGCTCTGGATAACACTTCTCTCCAGGGTGTGGTCCCCTTCCTTCAGGAAAGAATCTTGGCGATTCATTGTAATTCTGTGTGTGTGGGGTGTGTGTGTGTGTGTGTGTGTGTGTGTGTGTGTGTGTGTGTGTGTCTGTGTGTGTCTCTGTGTGTGTGTGTGTGTGTGTCCATGGTATCCATCAGAGTGTGTAGCTGTGTATCTCCAGGGCAAATCTGTGAGCACACTTGTGGCTGTGGCTGACTGTGGGGAGGTGTGTTTCTGCCCCTGTCACCCCTCACCCTACCTTTAGCACCCCCATCCAAAGCAGAGCTCAGAGCCCTTCTTCTGTCCCCCAGAGCTCAGGACCCATGACAGAGTTCTCCAGGCCTCCTATTCCCAGTCACCACTAGCTCTCTGGGGGCTGTCTCCCTGCTCCAGGCTCCAGGAAGGCAGCCCACCAATGTCCTCCTCTCCCCTCCTATAGTCTACTCCTCCCCTTCTCCAAGCCCCCTCGCCCCCCAAAGCCTGGCGCTGGAGCCCAGACAACCCCTCCCAAGCTTAAGCATGGTCACTGCTGCCCCCTGCAGGCCTCAGGTGGCAACAGGTGAGGCATGGCAAAGGCTCCCATCCTCAGTATCCTGAGCCTGCCTGCTTGCCTCCAGCCCCATCAGGGAGGGTGGGGCATCACCTATTCCCCCAGTCTCCTTAGGTTCCTTCCTCCAGGAAGGCCTCTGGCTCCATGCCCAAGTGTGAAGTTGCTACTGAGGGGGATGATGGGGAGCTGCTCCACATTCTGAACACCCTGCAGGAGAGAGAGGTCACCGGCCTGCCTCCTGGGCACCCCCATCCCTGACATCCTAGTAGCAACATTTCTCCCTTTGCTCAAAACCAACTCCTCACCGTATAGATAGGAAAACTGAGGCCTGAGGGAGTGCCCCTCCCGAGTCAGAGGCAGACCCAGGCTCGAGGCTCCCCAGCCCAGGACCCTGGCCCCTCCACTGGTATCAATGTGTCTGCCAGGAGCCACACGGAGGCTGTGCCCTGGGGCTGATGTAGCCATTCCAGGCTGTGCCCGTTCCCAGGGGCTGTCAGTCCTGTGGCCCAAATCTGACACCAATCACCTCGGTTCTGATAATACCAGAATGACCATGGCGCCAGGCCTGTCCCTTCAAAGCCATGCTCTCCTTGACCCGGTCTTGTGGTCGACACCCCAGGAAGGCCACCGAGGGGGCCTGATGCCAACGACACTGGCATCTTCAGAAGCCCCTCCCCTTGCAGAAATTCTCTTTTCCATTCTGTCCTCCTCGTCCTCAGTAGTCTCTCTTCTCCAACAGCCCCTTGCGGAAGAGGCCACATGGTGGAGTGGCTGAGAGTGTGGCCTCTGGAGTCGCAGAGGCCGAGGTTCACACACCAGCACCACCACTCACCAGCTGTGTGGCTTCAGGCTAAAGACTAAACCTCTCTGAGCACTAGATGTCTCAGTAAAAGGAGGTGAAGGCACCTACCTCAAAGATGCTGATCGTTCCACAGATATTTACAAGCAAGGCCCTACCCCTCACTGAGCCGTGGGCTGGGCTCTAGGAAGAAAAAGAGTCTAGGTGATTGTGCGGAGGATGTTCCCATGAGTTCTTTTTAAGGAAATTAACACAGTGCTTGGCATGCAGCAAGCACATAATAAAATAATCCTATTTATTTACGGTCTCTGGTCCTCCTTCACCAGTTCCTCCTTAAATGTCGATCTGCTCCCATACTCTGGCTTCCATTCTCAGCCCAGGCGGAGCCTTGTGCGTGCTGTTGCAGGCACACTTGGTCCCCGATTTTTTATCTCCACTTCTGCACTCTCCTCTGAGATCCAGTTCCACACATTCAGTCATTCAACAGATATTTATTTATCGGACCCCCATTATGTGCCAAGGAAAAACGAACCAAAATTCTGCACTCAAAGAACTTATATAGGGGCTTCCCTAGTGGTCCAGTGGTTAAGACTCCGCACTCCCAATGCAGGGGGCCCAGGTTCGATCCCTGGTCAGGGAACTAGATCCCACATGCCAGCGAAGATCCTGCATATGCCACAGCTAAGACCCGGCGCAGCCAAATAAATAAACATTAAAAAAAAAAAAAAAAAAGAACTTATGTAAATGTTGAATCTCCAACTGTTTGGTGACACAGATTCCTCCCCCCTGCCCTGCCTACCCTCCCACCCCGCTCCCAGACATCTCATAGGTACCCTCCAACTTAACTTGACCCCTTGGAAAACAGTCTGGAAGTTCCTCAGAAAGTTAAACATGGACTTACCATTTGACCCAGCAACTCCACTCCTAGAACCGAATACCCAAGAGAACCGAAAACATATCCACACAGAAACTTATACACAAATGTTCACAACATTATTCACAAGCAAAAAGTGGAAACAGCCCAAATGCCCAGCTAAGTGTGGAATTTCCATACAATGGAATATAATTCAACCATTAAAAGGACTGAAGAACTGAAACATGTTACAACCAACATGGATGAACCTTGCAAACATGGTGCTAAGTGAAAGAAGCCAGACACAAAAAGGCCACATATTGTATGATTTTATCTTTATGAAATGTCCAGAATAGGCAGAGTAAGGGGTAGGGAGGCGCAACGGGGAGTGGCTGCTAAGGGGTATGAGATTCCTTTTGGAATAGTGCAAATTCTGGAATTAGATAGTGGTGATGGTTGCACAACTTTGTGATTATACTAAAAACCACCAACGTGTGTACTTTAAAAGGATGAATGTTATGACTTGTGAAATCTATCTCAAAACAAAAATTCAACCGGACCAAACTGAATGCCTCATCTTCCCACAGAACTTGCTTCTCTGGCGCCCTCGTCCTGAAGGACGGCACCATACTTACCCCAACCCCCAGGCTCACAGCCTGGACATGGCACCCTCCCTCTCATGCCCCCATTCTTTGCATCCCTCCATCCTTCCCCTCTCCCCTTGGCTTTCATCAAAGAACCCAGAGGGCTTCTTGTGGGGAGGCCGAGACACAAGAGGAGCTGGGGCAGATGCCGGAGCAGCTCTGGCGTGCGGCAGGGAGGACAGGTCGTGTGGCTGGTGACACAGGGTGTAGCCTTGGACCACGTGCTATTGGGCAGAGCATCCTTGGAGAGAGGCAAGACCAGGCTCCGGGCCCAGGAGGGACTGAGTTCAGAGCTGGGGCCCACACCGGGGCTCAGAGGTTAATCAACATGCAGTCTGCAGACAAGTCAGGCTGATGATTTATGTCTTTAAGTGTTTTGACTGAATCACCAACCTCTAAAAACCAAGAGATGTTCCTTTCACCCATAATTTCCAATTTCCCACTGCTCTTGAGAAGTCAGGAACTCTGGCCATGCTGGGCACATGTCCTGATGCAGCAACGGTGGGCAGAAGCTGAGCTGTGGCCACCCCCAGTGTGGGGCCCGCTGGGACGATGACCTGTCTTCCAGGCTCTCTGCTTCTGCCTTGGCCTCACCCTCACCTCTTATCACTGCTGCCTCTTCACAGCTGTCCTGCCCCTGGCCTCCACCCCCTACCCCAGCACCTGCCTGCCCTGGGCCTTCCCCTGTTAGACACCCTTCCATGGCTCCCCACCACCTGCAGGAGAAAGCCCACATCCCTCAACTCAGCATTGAGAGGCCTGAGCCAGTGGCCCTGCTCACTCCTCCACTTCCTCTCCCCGTCTCTATTCGTGCTCCCTCAGCCTAGCCCTAGTGACTCTTTGGGTGTTCCTTCCCTGCCCCAGGACCTTTGATCACACTCTGCTTTCCAGCAGAAGTGCCTGGAGCGAGGTGGGTACCCAACCAGGCTCCACCAGTCAGGACATTCCCTTTCCTTGGCCACAAGAACTGGTTCTGGGATGGGCACATGACCCAACCACAGCCAATAAGAGCTGGACCTGGGACTTTTGCTGGAACTCTGGAGGAGGAGACGTTTTTGTGCCCCAGGGCTGCTGGTGGCCATTTTTCCACTCTGAGGGCAGAGAGCCTGCCTGAGAATGAGGCCTCCACAGAGGAAAGCAGAGCCGAGAAGATCCTGGCTAGCTTCCTTGGAGAACCCAATGGGACCAACCTGAATTCCTCATCTCCCCATAGAACATGCTCCTGCACCCTCATCAGGGAGGATCCAGCCAGGCCTGAAGCCCACACTGATTTTTCAGTTACACAAACCAGTTAATACCCTCATCCTCCCTTTTAAACCCATTTTGATTGGGTTTCTGTCCCTAGGAACCAAGAAGTTCCAGCTAATTCATCCTCAGCTTCTCTCTCTCCCCCTGCCCACCCTGTACCCCACCTCTGTCCCAGGGAACCTGACACAGGCCTAGGCACAGAGAAGATGTGTGGAAGTGTCCCTGGATGTGTCTCTCCCAGCAATAATTTGTATCTCTCCTTATCTCTGATTGGTGCACTCCAAGATCAGAGGCATGTGATTTCATGAGCTCTGTGTAGGGGCGCACAGGAGGCCTGAGGGAAAGCCAAGAGCAGGACTGCCTGGATTAGAGCCTCCAGGCCTTTGCTCGAGGCTGGTTCCACCACTGTGCCACCTCCTCCAGGAAGTCTTCCCAGGCTCCCCTCCCCAAGCAGCATTCATAAATCCCCTTGAGACCCTCCTGTGTGTGCAGCCAGAGGCCCCCAGACAGGGATATATCCCAACACACCTCTTGTATGGGCCTGCGAGGTCATGGATGACAGCCCACTGCCTGCACACCTCCAGTTACAGAGAGCTCATCACCTCCCAGGAGACAGCTCTAACGGCAAATTAAACCATCCCAATTTGAGAGAAAAAGAGTGACGTCTTAGCTCAGGCCACCAGGGCCTCAGGTCCTCTCCCTCCACTTGCCCTCGACTTCCCGGAGGATTGTGACTGACAGAGAAAACAGCCTCAGTTTCCCTCCTCGGAGTCTGTTCGAGTTCTCAGCATCTCAGCCTCTCTGCCTCTGTCTCAGTAATTCCCTCTCCATATCTGAGCCTCAGGGCCTCTTTCTTCACCTGAGTGTTGTGTTCCAATGTCTGTCCCTCTGTCCAGTTCTGTCTCTGCCCACCCCCCATCTGGACTATCTCTCGGTCTCTGGGGTTGGGGTGTCTGGCTCTTCTATGCTCCCCTCTGTGCCCCTGCAATGCCCACAGGACCAGAGAGTCTGACAGACAGGGCCCTTGGGAAGGGGGGGGTGTAATTAAAGAAAGGCCATCCCTCCTCAGGAAAGGGCAAATTATTGAGCCTGCAGACAATGTCTTTGGAGGGGGTCCCCTAACCCCTGCTCCGTGGAACAGCTGGGAAACTGAGGTCTGAAATTGTAAGACCAAGTGCAGGCTGGGTTTGGTCAGCAGTTGCGGGCGTCTAGCTGAGCGGTCAGTGCAGCAGTGGGCAGTGGCCAGACGAGGGCACCAGAGACAGCAGGAGTGGCAGCCCCAGCTGGAGTCTGGGGGTTGGTGGGTGTTTCCAGGGACTCTGCCTGCCTCCCTCTGCTCTGTGACTGGGGCAGGTCAGTGCCCCTCTCTGAGCATGTTTCCTTTCCAGGATATCAAGACCAACTTTGGAGTCACACAGCTGGATTCAAACCCTGGTTCAGCCTTTTTCTAGCTGTGAGAACCAGGCTAAATCATTCAGTGTCTCTGAGTCTCACCAACACTGAGGAGGCCATGTCCATTTGGAAACTGAGCGCACTGTCTTGGGAGAGAGGAAGGGAGGGAGGCAGGTAGTGAGGTCCCCGTCACTGGAGGCATGTGTTCAGGATTGGATGGTGGCCTGGGGCATCTGCTGCAGCTGGGGGTGGGGTGGGAGGACTGTGCCTTTCCCTCTGACAGTCTTGTCACCAACACACAAAAGGAGGTCTGGCCGTGCTGACCCGAAAGCAGAAATGGGGAACCATGGGGGCCACGGTGAGGACAACGTTCTCCCAGCTTCTTGGTGGGAGCGATGCGCTGGGCCTGTGGGCAAGCTTTCTCCCCGCTGGAGGGTCAGGAGTGTGGCTAATGGTGGAAACACATCGGGGCCCCATTAGAAGGGTTCTCAGAGCCCTTGTGAGGAGGGGAAGAGAAGGCAGAGTCAAGGCTGGGGATCAGGAGGCCCCAGTTCTAACTGGGCCTGGACGCTGACTTGCTGTGTGACCTGGAAACCCCACTGCTCCCCTCTGGGTCTCTTTC